GTAGTAAGTAATACAGTTAAGCTAAAGTGTGTTATTATGCTCATTTGTGTTAGTCTTCATACTGTGTAATCATTCTTAACAGGTGGGGTTGCTGTGATCATAGACTGTGTGCCTGAGGTTATTAAGGATTTCAACTTAAATTAAAGTGATACTGAGCCAGGAGCAGGAGAAAATGGAGAGTCTGGAACAATCAGAAGCTTTTTGCTTGCAGGGATTGGTTAAGTATACACTGACGTCATTGTGTGAAACGTTGTCCTTGTTTGATGTGTAGTATCAATGCAGACGTCATTTGGACATTTGCACTCTGTGGAGGTGGATAAGTGTAAGACATGCAAATGAGAGCTTGTAAATTAATTCAGGATCAGATATATCGACTGCCATAGACCATAGAAACAAGGGACATTTCTTGTTTATACACCACTTCGAATTTAGTCATCACAATTATTAACTCTTTCTTTATTTCACAGCTTGTCTTTTGTTCTTTCTTCCTACCCTCACCTCAAATGCCCCTGGCCTTGGTTCCCTTGCAGCTGCCTGGAAATCAGTGCTATATTACAGGAGACCTTTTGTACTTTCCCTTGTTTTCTATCACAGATATATTTTCAAAATGCTGGTTCCCCCACCTGAACATAGCCAAAGTTTGAAATAAATGTCTGTATAAATAGCCATGGCTTGGTCAGATAGAGCAGATATGGTCAGATATGGAGGCTCCACCCACCGACTGCTCAAACGTTTTGCTTGTGGAGGTAGCCAACCAAAAGAAACTTGGTTTAAAATGAAAAGGTTGCATTATTTTGAACATTGAATCATGCAAAGCTACTTTATCAGAGTCTAGGAATAATGCAGTTTATTTTGAAAACAATATTTTTTTCTTCCAAATTTTGACCAATTTCCTTTCCTTGGGCACAGAGGGTCTCTAATCCAGTCTTTTTATCCCAGCAGATCCACATGAATCCTAATTAAAACGAGTCCTCCCTCCAACATCATTAGATTATTTTAAAAGCAAAACCAGGTTAAAAAAAAGCAGGGAGTTTTAGCTCATGAGTTAAAATGGTGATATGAGTTAAAATGGTGAAAAGCATTTTAAGTTGTGTGACGTATGATTCACCAACTCGGGGGATTTTTCTTCTTTCTTTTTTTTTGACCTGCTGAGTGCAAAACAGCCACCGCACTACCTGCTGCCACTCCTCCACTGGCCACAGGAGCTGCAGCTGCTATTCCAGCTGAGGTGAAACCAACAGCCCCCAGGACAATAGGAGCAGAGATCACTGCTGTACCTGAGACCAGGAAGAAACACTTGGTGACTGGGTGTGTAAAGCGCTTTGGGGGGACTAGTAAAAGCGCTATACAAATACAAGCCATTTACCATTTATAAAACATTGTTTCTGTGCTTTGGGTTTTTGTTTTCTACAGAGAGGTATAGTACGACTAGACCCTAAAGGTAGGCTGCTCACCTACAACCAGCTCACGAACATCTTTCCAATGGAGCTCGCTGCCCTTCTC